CCATCATCCTTTTGGTAAAGAGTGAAGTATCTAGAATATGTTTATGTTCGGAAAGAGCTAGAATATATTCAAATAATACATAGAGAAATTTCAAATGTTCGGATAATGAAGTGTAAAAGTAGACTTCAGAGAATGAAATTCATGCAAACAGTCATCAATAGGAAATAGATACAGGTAACAATCTAACAGAAAAGTCAGCTCCAATGAAAGATGCTGGATCTAAAGAGGCACGTTTTATAACAAAGAGTCGTGTGTGCTAGGAAAATGTGGCAATGTTAATAAAGCGTCAAACTGTATGAAACAAAACTTTCCATCATAATAGGACAAACAAAATCTGATAAAGAGATTGAGAAAATCCTCAAAAGATGTAAAAATATGAAAACCCTGGTAACAAACTTGGATTAATTAAATATACATGTTTATACATATTCAAATTGTATACATATAATGTGAAACCCATACTGGGGAAATGCTAGAATTAAAGTAATGTAACAGATTTTGAAGAATTGAGATTTTGTTGAATATGTATATACTGCACCATAAAATTGATCTAGAATTTCATAACAAAACAATAGAAAGTTCACAATGGTTTTTAAGAAAGACCCCAAAATATAATTTAAAATAACCTGAAGAAGAAATGTTTATTTATACTGGTAATTGTTTTGAGCTGAACAATAATTAAAATGCAACATGAGGAACAAAAGCAAGTGAAGGATAGGCAATACTTTAGCTTTGGAAAATTATACCTACCCCAAACGTCTCAGTGCAGTACACTGTCTTCAGAAGCTATCATAGTGTTTTTCTCTCCCAGATCACCCATGAAACTGTTCACTAAAAGGACGAATTCCTTATCCTTCCTTTCTTGCTCCTCCTCCTTCTCCTTGTCCTTCTCCTCATTCTCACCCTATTTCTCTTTCTCCAGAAGTTCTAGAGCCTCCACCCAGTTCCCAATTTATGAGTAAACAGCCAGCATACAGGAGGAGTTCAACTGCCAACTGATTCTACTGACCATCTTGGGAGGACCATCAAATTGGGCTTAGCAATCCTCAGAAACACGAAAGAAAATAACACATTTTCTTTTAACCACTCATTGCTGGGGTAGACTGTCACATGCATATATGGGTGAACAGAAGTAAAGTTTTAGAGTAAGATTAGAAGACAATGATTGAAGTTGGAACTGTAAGAGAAACACACAGAAAGAAGAAGAAAGGTAGTGACAAAGCACAGGATAACTAAGACAGAAGACAAACGAGCAACACTGAAAACTGAATAGTGCCAAGACCTTGGTATTGGAAAACACACGATGAATGACAAATGGCTGGGATGGAGATGTTAAGTGGATGCTGAGGTGGGGTTTGAATGAGAATAAGCTAACACCCGTCTCCAGTTGATGAGCTGTCAGGGAAGGAGTGGGAGGGATGGTCTTGTTGGAAGTGTGTCACTGAAAGTGGACTCTTAGATTCCAAAAACCGACACCAAGCCCAGTGTTGCTTTGTCTCTGTCTGCTGCCTATAGATCAGGCTGTAGCTTTCAACTTTTGCTCCAGAAAAATGTATGCTGCCATGATCCCTGCTATGATGATAAAGGACTAACCCTCTGAAACTGTATGTAAGTTCCCAATTAAATGTTTCCTTTGGTGGGGTGGGGGCAGTAAGAATTGCTTGGTCATGGTGTCTCTTCACAATAATTGAACAGTGACTAAATAGAGGTATGAATGATGATAGACAGATGACATATGCCTACTTACCCAGATAGATAAATAAGTAGATTGATAGACGATAGAAGATAGGTAAACCATAAACAGATTCTAGACAACAGAAAGATATAAAGGAATTTAAAACAATTCCAGTAAAAATAAGGAAGAAGAAAATTTATAACCTAATGCAAACACATTACTCAGTATTCCTTCCTCAAAATGGGTTCTGGGAACAAGAGTAGAGATTTAAGTACAGATTGAGCAGGCTGGGTAGCTAAAAGTGTGGAAATATTGAAAAAAAAAACTTAGCAGCAGTAGATTCAGAAATTTATATGGAATAGAAAAAAATTCTTTGAGTGATACAATTTACTCCAATGCATTAAGCTGTATAACCAAATATTTTTACGTGTAATAAATAAATTAAGCTCATAAGTGATTGCACACACAACACACAACAGAGTACACACATAGAGACACACATTATACAAAGAACCACATGCTGCAAGTGGCATAGTAAATGAACTTAAACAAACATTGATGTAAGAAATAAAACCAAACTATTAAGATGATAAAAAAATATTTTTAACTTGCTTTCATTCCCATGAGAGGTGGGTATAAGAACCTGGTGTTATCAAAAATGTGGGGATTTATAAGGAAAAAAAGAATACTAGTCATATCATAAATATAACCACAAAAATTGTTTTAAAAATCCTAGCTGAAATCATAAATGAATCATTTGAATCATATAAAATCTTGATGAGATTTATTTTAGAGATGCAAAATCAGTCAGTGTCATTTAATACCTTATAAAATTAATAAGAAACCAAATAGTTTTCTGTATATATTCAGTAATTGTAAGACATAACACTTGTTTTTGAACCAAATATGTATGAAATGAGAACATTCTGAAGTGATATTTTATTTATAATCTAACAAATAAAGTTTCCCTAGAGATCAGAGTGCACCACTAGTTAGCTATAGAGGCTAGGTAGTGGTGACACACACCTCTAATCCCATCACTAGGGATGTGGAGATAAGAGGAGATAAGACTGGGCAGAGAGAAGAATATAAGGTAGAAGGAGACAGGAGCTCAAATGAAGTCTATAGATGCAGTCTGAGTTTTCACAGGGACAGGATCACCCCTTTGGTCTGAGCATTGGTAGAGGTAAGAACTCCCTAATGGGTGGTTACTCTGCTTTCATCCCTACTATCCGACTTTGGGTTTTTATTCTTAAGACCAATTAGAAATCATAATACAGCATTTTTAATCTGATCAGATGAATCTTTATATATGGAGTGATAGAAATACAGATTTATTTCCACTACAAGAATGTGCATATTAGAAAGCCACCCTTTCAAGGCTTGAAGGGAGACAAAGTCGATTACAAATATATCTTTAGTTTGAGGTTGTGCCCTAAGACCAATAACTATAATAACCAATATTTTAAGACTTAAACAAATTGACAAACTATTTGAACAAACTTTTCAACAAATGTCACTCAAATGGCCAATAACATGAAAATGTGCTTAGCCTAATTAATAACCAGGAAAATGCATATTAAGACAAAACATGGTGCCATTATAAAATCTCCAGAGGATTTGAATCAGAAACAGGATATCCCAAATACTGGAAGAATTTGGTCCCCAATACACAGCTGGTGGGAGTATAATTCAGATTAATCTCTTTGGGAGACTGCTTGGTTATAACCATTAAAACAGAACATGTTGGACTATCTGACCCTGTGACTCCAGTTGAGATCTATCATCCAGTGGAAGGACATGTGTAAATCCACTGAAGGCTTGCTTAGGTGAGAATATTCATGTCAATATTCTTCCCAGTCACCAAAACAGAAAAAAATGATCAATTGTGCTTTATCTGTGAAGTGGATAAATAAACATTCTGGTAAATCCTTAGAATACTGCAGTATATATAGCAAGAAAGACTGAACTGCAAGTTCCTGCAGCTCAAGGGTGTGTCTATAAATGGATGGTTAATGAAGGAAGGCAGACAAAAACACAGAAAAATTCACAGTCCAAGTTTGTCTGGACACCTTACAAAAAAGTGAAGTTGGTCTGTAGTGTCTCAAGATCAAAGCAGCTGTAACCTTCAACTACACAGAATGTTTATTGAATAATAACCATACTTGGTCCCTGCAGCGAGCTTGTGCTGCTCCTCTGTGGTTAGGCTCACACCAGAGCATAGCCTAGCACACACAAGCCCTCAGGTTGGATGCCCTCAGTGGCTTCCACTATTCCTCACTGGTCAGTCTTTCCTCTTCTCTCCCCAGCCCAGATCTCCCATCCTTACTTGCCCTGCTCCCTCATGCTTTCCCTTCCCCACCTTCCCTCTCCTACCCACACTCGTCTTACTGAGCAAGCATCTATCAAGGTAACTACTCTGCTTACACTGACTATGCGGATATGAGCACAAGAGTAATAATGTAACCAGCCAGGCCACTGTCAAGGCTGAAAATAAATTAGAATATTTCTCAGGCATTAGTTGCATAGGAGCAATGCATAAATTTGAGTTCTAAAACTAAAGACTTTTAGCCATGGGTTTAGAAGAAGACTCAGCAAAGCAATAGTTCTGTTTAATCCCCAACCCCTGCTAGATACTACAGAACACTACTGTAATTTCTCTCTATGTTCTGGATCTCACGTTGAATTGCTGACTTGTAGGAAATTTCTATATCTGTCCTACAAACTCTCCAAATCTATAGCACTAAAAACTCCTTATTTAACTATTTTAAAATAGTTATTACTACAGATATCAACAATTAGGATGTGGCTATTTCTCTATGACACATTAGCTCTGATTAAAATGAGATGCTTGGACTTGGGATATGGCTCACTAGCTAAACCTCTTGCTGCTCAAGCTTGAGAACCTAAGGTTAATCACCCGTGCATAGCTGGGCACAGTTGCACAGCTGCAATCCCAGTGCTTTTGTGACAAGATGTGACAGGAAAGGGAGATCTCAAAAACTCAAAGGCCAACTATCATAGCATACACCAAAAAGAACCTGTCTCAAAGGGGGTCGAAGGCGAGGACATCTGAGGTTGTCCTCTGATCTCCATCAGCATGCTGTGCCGTGTGCACACCTGTAATCACATGTATATTCACACACAAGTGCACATAGACACAAAATAAATAAAATAAAATAAAATTAGATGCTCTTCTTTTCTCCTTAAAATCTGATGAGGAAGGAATGCCAAATTGGTGGATCGATTTTAGGAGAGGCATTGGAGGTTTTTTTCTGTGTATTTACTTTGGAAAGACTGATTCTATACAACTATTCAATTGCAGATATAAACGAATGTGCTGTTGACAATGGTGGCTGTCAAGACCAATGCTGCAATACGATTGGCAGTTATTACTGCAGATGTCAAGCTGGCCAAAAGCTGGAGGAAGATGGCAGAGGATGTGAAGGTACCAGAGAAGACTGTCTGCTTCCTGATAAGGAAACAGAGAACATCTATAGAGTGCAAATATGGGGATTGCTTTCCATCTAAGCCAGTTGAAGCACTTGTGTTAACTATTGCCAAGAGTATATCTTCTTCTTGTGCCTAGATTATAGAACTGCGACCCATTAGAAAACTTGAAGTAGCTTATTATAGACAGCATATGATTATATTCTGGTGTTGGTTGTGTCATGTTCTGATTATAGAATTTCAATCATTCATTTAAGTCCTGGTGTAAAGAAAATTTTTGAAAGCATTTTATTTATTTCTATAGCAAAAAAAAATGGTACTTCTTATAAAAGAGTCATCTGTTATCAAATGAGCGTTGGCCCTGACTTTACCCTTTCTTTTTCAAATTAATTCTTTTCATCTTTTATTTTTTTAATTCAACCTATTATTTACTTGACAGTCATTGAGTTTCTGTTCTCTATTAGGCATTATTCTTTGCCGTAGAGATGTAATATTAATGAGCAATAAATTCTTCCCTGAAGGAGCTCATTGATTAGAGGAGAAGATGGAAATGTGTGCTCAGATCTTACAAACTGATGTGGTTGGGAATCCTTAAGTGGGGTTAAATGCACTGGGAACAGAGATACGGATTTTACTCTTCGGCTCTACCCCTAATTGTGTAACCTTGGGCAAGCTGCTTAATCTCTCTGAGATTGCCATCTGTAAAATTTAGGATAATGTTAGCTACTGAAACCACCAGCAAAGGTGCTTTGAGACCGAAATAAGACAATGCATTTAAAACACTTAGCATGGAGGGTGAACAGCCTAGGCTCAGGATAGCCACGCACTGTGCTTACCTTCAGTTTACTGGATGCTCACTTTGAGAAGGTGAAGGGGAGCAGAGAGAGCTTCCCACTCAAAGCACTGAGCAGGTAATCTGGCCTGGGAGGATCAGTTCTGCAACTCCCTATTGTCTTTTCTGGCTTTTTCTCTATTCATTCTACTATAATGCCCGATCAATAAAAATTCAGGCATCATTGCCTCCTGATTTGTTTACTTAAGAGCATGATAAGTAGAAAAGTATTCTAGTTGTGTTGTGGACATTGATCCTAGGAACTCTCACTCCCTGCCTCCCTGAACAGTGTTCATAGTGAGACACATGAATAAAGAGACAAAGAGAATAAATAAAAGACATTACCAGAGAAGGTGTCTGGACTGAGGTAATATATTTAGTAGGGATTACTCAATTGCCTCGCAGCTCAGGTTAGAAAGATCAGTCTTGTCTCTATCTCCATCCATCGCCAGATGAAGGTTCTATGGTGATATGCAAAATATTCATCAGTATGGCTATAGGATAGGATCATTTCAGGTTCCCTATCATCAGCTGCCCCAGGAACTAACTGGGGACCTCGCCTTGGGCACCTGGAAGCCCCTCTAGGTCCAAGTCTCTTCCCAACCCTAAGATGGCTCCCTTAATTAAGATATATGCTTCCCTGCTCCCCTATCCAACCTTCCTTTATCCCAATCATCCTGTTGCCCCAAGTTCTCCCCATCCTACCCTTCTCACTTTTCTCTCCCCATCTCCCCTTACCCCCCTCCCACCCCACCCTTAAGAGACAGAGACCCACACTGGAGCACTGGACTGAGCTCCCAAAGTCCCAATGAGGAACAGAAGGAGGGAGAAGATGAGCAAGGAAGTCAGGACCAAGAGGGGTGAACCCACCCACGGAGACAGTGGGGCTGATCTATTGGGAGCTCACCAAGGCCAGCTGGACTGTGACTGAAAAAGCATGGGATAAAACCGGACTCTCTGAATATGGCGGACAATGAGGGCTGCTGAGAAGCCAGGGACAATGGCACTGGTTTTTGATCCGACTACATGTTCTGGCTTTGTGGGAGCCTAGCCAGTTTGGATGTTCACCTTCCTAGACCAGGATGGAGTGGGGAGGACTTTGGACTTTCCACAGGGCAGGGAACCCTGACTGGTCTTCAGACTTGAGAGGGAGGGGGAGAGGGGCAGGGGGAGGGGGAGAGGAGTGGGGGGACGGGGAGAGGAGTGGGGGGAGGGGGGAGGAGTGGGAGGAGGCGGAAATTTTTTTTTCTCAATAAAAAAAAAAAGAAAGATCAGTCTTCTCTGCCACGACTTGGACGTGCTTTAATTTGGAAGATTTAAGATAAACAGTCAGGCATATTCAAGGACAAGAGAATCTGTGATCTTCAGAGATAAGTTTCACCCAGGGAAAGCACTTTGGGGAAGGTATAAATTCATAAGGGCAAAGCGTCATCTACATTCATTTCTTCATTCATTCATTATTCATTCATTCACTTCCTTGTGATAATGTCTAACTTCAGATGTGGTGGGCAGTAGTACTCCATATCAGACATATGTACAAATTACAAAAGAGATACAGAGATGTTGCTAGTGGCGACCTTTCCCCATCCAGACAGTCTATAGCAGTTGTTAGGTTAACAGTGCAAGTTAGACCATATAACTCATAGTGCACTTTCAATTGATTGTCTTGTATCTTGACTCAAGTTGTTCCATCAACCCTAAACTGTTGAAGGAGAAAGTCACTTGTTGGTTTCCGGCCACCTGGCTATCTTAGACCCAAAATAATCACACAGAAATTGTATTAATTAAATCACTGCTTTGCCCATTCGCTCTAGCTTCTTATTGGCTAACTCTTACATATGAATTTAACCCATTTCTATTAATGTGTATATCACCACAAGGTCATAGTCTACCAGCAAAGTTTCAGCAAGTCTATCTCCCACAGTGGTTCCATGGCTCCATGGCATCTCTCTGACTCTGTTCTTCTTTCTCCCAGCATTCAGCTTAGTTTTTCCCACATACCTAAGTTCTGCCCATCAACAGGTCAAGCCAGTTTTCTTTATTCATTAATGGTAATCACAGCATACAAAGGGAAATCCTACATCACCTATTTAGCGAAGTGTTTTCTCTGGCTGCACTGAACTGTGGTAGCTCTATAGAAACCATGTAGGACTAAAGCTAACTTGAGGAAACTCAACAGGGGCATCAGAGAGTAGTGATGCTTTGCTCTTACCTGGCCCCAGAACTGAGAATAGGGATATGGGATGTGAAAGGAAGAACCTTTCCTGCAAAGACTACTCCTACCTGCAGTCTACTTCATCTTGGAACCCCTTGTTTTCACTTCCCAAAATGACTGGAAGAGAAGCTTATGCTAGAGAAGATTATGGTAGAAGCTGAGCCTAGTCATGCTGCTGGCTCAGCTGCTGACCACATGGTGGCTTAAACTTGTTTATAAACATAGTGTTGATATAAATACACAACTCCCATCTCAAAGGAAGTAAGGGACAATTTATTCTGGAGCCAAGTATGAGTGATCATAGTCCTAGCCCAGAAACACTGATTTAATTCAGCCTATGTTCCATCTTTAAATATGCTAAAAGTTCTGTGAGATTTTATATTGATAGGAAAAGGAAATTATAAATCAAGACACTTTTTTAAGCATTTGTGGGGATACCAGGTAAGTGAGTCACAAAATCTGGGGAAATCTTTGCTATAGGCATTGGATGGTACCTGATAGCATACTAAACCTTTTGTTTGGTGGGACCTAGGTGTCTGTTTATAGATTTCAAAGGATTTATCTAATTATCAAAAAGATGGTAGGCCCCATACAGAGAGGCCTAATAGATGGCTATTAAATTGTGCAAGAAATTGGCCCAGGATAATCCGGCTTTGGACTTCAAGATTCCATAACCTCCACATCATTTAGATATTAATCAGGATCTTTAGTTTACAATAGCTAAGTTAAAAGTTAGAGAATATTTTCCTCCTATGTCCCTGACACCCCTTGGCTCCTACAACCCCTGCTCCTTCTCTTCAACAGGTCTCCCTGAGTTTGGCCAAATGTTTGGCCTTGGATCTCTGGGTCTTGAGTCTATGAATCTGCCTCCATCATTCACTGAATGAAGGCTCTCTGTTGACAGCCAAGATAGTCTTCAATCTGATCACAGTTCAGGCTCTGTAGCCACTGCTTCCAGGAATCTTAGCTGGGGCCATCCTTGTAAACTCCTGGAAGTTTCCCTTGCATCAGGCTTCTACCCAGCTCCATAAATCCCCTCGAACTAGTCATCCTTCTCAGGGCTCTCCCCCTCTGCCCAGCCTACAACATAATCCATCAAGTTCTCATCCCCATTCATCCAGTCCACCTAGGACATCTCTTCTATTTTCGCTTCCCAAGGAGATCCATGCATCCTCCCTTGGGTTCTCCTTTTTACCTAGCCTCTCTGGGTCTGTGTATCGTAGCATTGTTATCCTTCACTCTACAATTAATATCCATTAATGCTGATATTATTATTGATATGTTAATATTAATTTATATTAATATGATTTAATATCACTTATGAGTAAGTACATGCTATGCTAGCCTTTTGGGGTCTGAGTTCCCTCATTAAAGATGAATTTTTCTAGAAGGGGTGAATTGAGGAGGGGACAGAATGAAGTTGAGGAGGGACAGAGGTTGTGGTTGCTATACAAAATTAATTAATTAATAAAAGAATAATAGGAAAGTTTTAAAAATTAAAAAAAAGCATTGAGGGAAGAGATTTAGAAGTCCAGAACAGTTTAAAGTCACTGCGAGTGAGTGGCTAATGGGTCCTTAGCATTTTCTCATGGCTTGTTCTTGATAAAAGAAAGGTCCATTGGTTTCAAAAACATTGTGTGGGATGCTACAGCCATAGAATTGAGCAGTCACTTATGACCGTTGTTTATTTAACTTATTTAAGTTGGTTTTAAAATAGAAAAAAGCATTATAGTGGGTATTTATTATCTTATTTTAAAATTAGAGTTGCTACAACAAGTGTAGAGCGGACCCTCAAGTGAGACTGAAACGTTTGTAGATGGCTTTGTGAGACAACGTATCCTCTCAGTTTTCCTCTAAAGATCTATCAATTTGTGAAGAAATTGTCTTTCTAAAAATACTCTTATTATCCGTGTGTATGAGTGTGTGTGAGAGAGAAAGTGTGCTTGAGAGT